TTTAAAACTTTATAACTTAGGGAAAAATTACAGTACCCCAATTATGCGCTAGTATACTTGTATCGGGCAGGAGGGAAAAATACTGAAAATCATTTTACAGTACTAAAAAAATAAACGACTAGCTTTTCAGTATGTGGTTGAAAAAATATAATACTCTAAAATAAAAACCACTCATAAAAAACCACTCTTTAAACAGATTTTTATATTAAAAAAAAAAATGGCAAGAGACACTTTGTATTTATTGGTAAAAATAGAAAAAAGTCCATAAATTGCCATATTTTGTCTGCAGCAAAGCGTAGTCGTTTTTTCAAATATTGGACCAAGTCTGCTAACCCCAAACTTTTGTCTGGTAGGACACAGGGCTCTTTCAAAACCCCGATGCTTTCACTGTTTCCTGACCCAAAAGCCCCTGCACCAGTTCACTGTTATGTTCACTCTTTGCAACAACTGTCTTCTTTTTCAAATTTTCCCCTGGATTTAGAGCATTTTATAGGGACTTTATTAAAAAAGAAATGGCAACTGACAATGGTTCTAAAGCAATGGTGATGCCACAAGAAAACATGTAGTTATCGTGTTAAGGGAAAAAACTGGAATTAAAATAAAGGTGGGTTTTGGTGTCTCGCAGCATGGGTATGTAAAGGGAGTATGGAGTTACAGTGTTTGACAGCCATAAAGGAAGGAGAAATTTAAGTCCATGCTTTTAAAGTTTAGGTAGATGCAGCCAAAAAAGGTTCTACGTTGGCCCTAAAAAGCTATAAAAAGGGCCCATGTCACTGCAGTTTTAGTCCTCTTCCGCCAAAAGGTAAAAGTAAAAATTAGTGGCGATCTAAAATTTTAAATTTTCAAATTCAAGAGTCAGGATAATTGGTAATACATACACCCTCCCTCTCCCCCCAATTAATTGTAGGGAAGGGGTTTAGCTGTACAGCAATAAAAATTTATAGTAAAAGGGAAAACATCAAAACCCTAACAAAACAAGAAAAGTAAAAAAAAAAATAGATAACAGTACAGTACAGAATTAGAAAACATAATTTTGGAAATATATTAATAAAACTTTCAAAAGCTTTTGCACAACTGATCCGATTAAATTTCTCAAAAACAGTAAAATATTATTACAGTATGGGAAAGTGCTGAACCTGTGGGGGGTAATCACTGTCTCTGACGTAGACCATCAGGTTTGATCCAAGGAAAGGGAAAAGCGGGTTTAAATGCAGCATAAAAACCCTTTCACAAGCATCTAGGAACTCCCCTTGGGGGGGTAAAAAAACCAGTAAATTGTACTTTAAAAGGAAAAAGGAAACAATACAGACGGGAAGTACACAAAAAACCCTTTACACTAAAAATTTTAGGATAATGTTTCAGTTGACGGACCATAAGTAGCTAATGATTGAAGTCGGACGAAAAACTATACGTATTTCACCCCCAAAGTGCAAGGTTTTAGTTGTGCATTGTACATTTTTGGGGTTTTACTAACCTATTTTAATTCTTAGGGCGGGTACTTCTTGTCGGGTTTATAAACCTTTACTGGATCCCACTGCTCCCCCAAGGACCTGACCGGGACTGGATGGCTTTAAATCAATTTTACTGCCCCTATCTTTTTACGAACTGACTTCTTGTCAGCTTCTCTCATAAGCTAAATGCAGATGCTCGAGCCCTAAAAAAATTAAAAAAGGGGGTTGGGATCAGTATAGTGTGCAATCATATAGTTTCAAATATGCATATAAATCATAGCTTTACAGGTTAAAATTTAGAGTACAAATATTTACAAGATAATAAAAAAAATAAAAACCACCTGTGGGAGATCTCTCAAAGTACTCCCCCCAAAAAACCCCAGTTTGACTTCTGTTTAGAAACGTAAAATCCAAGGGTTTCAGATTCAGCTTGAGTATGCAGTAGTATTGTTTGGATCGTGAGGTATTATAACAAAGAATGTATGAAATGTTTAGGATACTGTGCAAACCTCTGCAAAATTAAAAAGTTTAAAAACCATTGCAAAATATTGGTTTCTGAAAAGGCATAATTCTTTTCCAGTCATACTTAGTGCTGACGTTTTCACTGATCGAAAATTATAAATGTGAAACGCAATGCATGGCTAATACAAGTCTAATTTAAACAACGTTTTAAAAAAATTTCCCTTATTTTTCAGAAATGGGGGAAGAACTGTTTCGTAATTTGTAGTAGAAGATATATAATGTATACAGGGGTTGTCATGTTTTGGGTTTTAAAATAATAATTTTAAACACAGTACCTTACAAAATTTTCAGAGACTGTCAAAGGTTACATATTAACATAAAATTTTTAGATAAAACATGCATAAAAGATACTATACACAAAATACAGTGGACCCCCGCAAAAATTACCCCCGAATGCGACCAATTATTAAGTGTATTTATGTAAGTGCATTTTTACGTGTAATTTGGGGTCTGAAATGGATAAACTATTACAATATTTTTATGGGGAAAAAATTCAGTCGTATGGCACCCAAAGGGGCGCTCAGGGTTTACGCACGCGGAGCAAAAAACAACAAAAAAATTGAAAATGGAGTTACCAAAAAAAAATTTAACTTTTGGCTACACTCTGGGGATAATTTTTATCCTTTTACGATGTTTCTAAAAGGAATTACAGCCCTTTTTAAAAAGGATGGGGACAGCCCCTGAGCATATTTTCGTAAAAAAAGCGCTGAGCGGGTTTTTTTTAGTTTTTCCCCCCTTTTTATTTTTTTCGTTTTCTTATATCTTTATGTTAATAAAATACAAATTCACTGTTGAGATCATCCCGAACGGGCGGAGCTAATATGGTCAAGTAACCAGAGGGACCATGGGGATAGTTCCAAAAAGGCCGACATCCAGCCAAAAAAATATTCCATAAATATTCCCAAACCCCCGCTAATATCAATTAAAGGTTTTTATCTATCACAATTGTTATTTTGAATAATGCAATATAAAATAGCATTAAAAATAAAAAACACACCGTAAAAAAATAAAATTTTAGAAAATATGATGCCCAAAAGGGGGGAAAAAATTTTTATCGGTGTATCCCCCGAAGTTTCGTTCTCTTAAAGTGAGAGAGAAAACGGGTTTTTTAATGGTTAACTGTAATAAAAAACTCGAGGCACACAAAAAGTGTAAAAAAAAAAGCGAATTTTTTTTGGGGGGAAAAAAATTTTTTCCGGGCACTGGGGGGCCGCGGCTTTGGCCCAAATCTCGAAAGTAACTTATTTACCCTTTTTTGGGGCAATCCCCTTTATTTATGATTTAAAATTTACTTGATTTTCACAACAAACATAGGGAATGATTGCTTTACAAGGTGGAGGGCCTTTCGAACTATCCAAAAATTTTAGATTTATGTGGGCAAAAGACCGACATCTCCAATATGTCAAAAAATTTTAAAAAAATTTTTTTTTTAGCATGAAGATAAGGTTTATTTAGAATAGGTACACTTCATGATGGGAAATTAAGGGGTTCTTCAGCGCAATGTCAAAACCACTTTTCCCCAATACCACTGAGAAACCCCCCGCCAAATGCAATTTTTTCGTAAATTTTTATATTTCATTTCTTTTTGGCCGAATGATTGAAACTTCAGCAAGGATATTTGATATAAGCTTTAATAGTAACCAAAATTAACTAATCGGTTGAAAAATAAAGAAATCGATGTGTTAACCTTTCGCTCCCTGAAATACTTCTGGAGGAAAAAAATCGTTAACCCGGGGGGTCCACTGTATTCCATGAAACATGAGAAACTTTTAGGGAATAACAATCAAATTTTTTTAAATCTATCTGCTTTACTGGCACTAATGGGGCTTGGGGGTAGGAGAGTGAGGGTAAAAACTTCACCTTAACCCTTTCAGGGTTGGTGCCTATAGACGGGCTTTCACGCCCGGGTTGGTGCTTACTGTAAGCATAAATTTTAGCGCTTTCAAATCTAGCGAGAGAATGTGGAGGCCACAAAAAGAAGGGTCTATGTGGTCAGTTAAAAAAAAATCCTGCAGCCACAGTGCAAAAGAGAAAAAAAAAAAATCCGACCGTGTTTTTTTGGGTTTAAAAAAACAATTTGCAGTGATTTTCGTAGCTATTTATGGTTTTTATTCTGTTTTCCCCGGTCTTTTTTTAAGATGGGGACATATTATGGGGAATGAGATGATTTTGATTGGTTTCCCAAAGAAAAATACTTGAAATGAGCTCAAAAATAGCAGAAAATTTTTTATTTTGCCAAAATTCAAAGATAAACAAATATGCCACGCTTTTCCCTACACGAACTGGCTTCAATATTTTTTCACAAGTGTGCTGATGTTATTTATACCATTTCTACACGAATGCAGTAGTCTGCATAACATAAATCTTCTGTTTTTTGTGAGAATAAAAATTCAAAGTGGAAAGCAAAAGAAATGTAGCAGAGGCCTGGGGACGTGAGTAATGAACAGAAGAAATGTTATTTTAGTTCCAGGAATGTCTGTCTTGTTTATTCTGGACCCTATTTGGAAATTGGCATCTTTTGAAATTTGCGTGAAATTTCCAAAATTGCCAATTTCTGACCACGTTATTGGTTAGTTGAAATCAATAAATGGGTGGTTTCTTGTACTCATTCAATAGACAAAATGGAGTTCTAGCGAAATAGGTATGATTTTTGTCGACTGATACATTGGAATTGACCGATAATGGGGCTCAAAGTGGGCGAAATCGCCAATGCGTAAACATCGTCGAGACAGCTAACTTTGCGAGAGCGTAATTCCGTACATTTTCCATCAAATTTCATACTTTTGGTGTCATTATGATCAGGAAAAGATTCTCTATCATTTCATAAGAAAAAATAATTTTTTTTCTCGAAAAATTTCCGACCGAGAGCAAGTTTTGGAAAGGGCCACACTGGCCATCCCAGAAGTGCTGGGCTGAGGGTCTGGTATGGCCACACCGGCCACCCCAGAGGTGATGGACTGAGAGTCATCTGGGTTCTCATCAATATTTTCACTAATTCCTTGATTAGTGGCCATATCACTGTCAAATCCACTAAACTCGCATTCAATTTCACTCTCCGAGAATAGTAGAGTGTTAATACGATGAGGTGTGAGTGAATCGTGAGGGTTTGCCATGATGTTGACCCAAGATGGAGCTGAAAATAACTGGTCCTACCATGTGGTACCCCAGCATCACCGATTTTTTTCATACTGCACACACTGAAAGGGTAAAAAAGAACTTCCATTTCAACTACGATTTTTTAAATTGCATTTTAATACATGGTAATGCAGTGTTTACATAAACCAAAAGTAATTTATAGAATCTGTTTTACAAACATTCCACTTTACTAGTTGAAAAAATTTAGTACTGTTCTGTTTATATTGCAATGGAAGCAGCAGTTGCCTTGCTGCTTCCACTGAGGGTGCTGTATATGCAGGAAGGCCCTGCATATACAGCACCCTCTTTTCAATGTTCCACACTTTAATTGGCTTTCAACTGAGCCACTGTTCATTATGTTCGGTGCTTTCACCACTTTTTCGCAGTTTTCATACAACAGTTACATAAGGGAAGGGTGACTGGCACCATATTTTAAGGTAAGTATTGTATGTACTGTGTATTTATTTTATTTTGTATGTTTTTTATGCCTAGCTGTATTGACCACTTAATATATGATAGTGTAAACATGTTATCAGGAATTAATTGTAATTTAATTTTAGACACATTCAATAATGAAAAAAAAAAAATTTTCCACCCACCAGCGATTTTCTCTTACAGTACAGGATCAGGAACCTGAGAGCTGTACACGAGGGACCCTCCTGTACCTGATGTCAGTGTACATCCATCTACTACTGACAAATATTTTGCAGTGCCTGTACACTTCATGCTTGAAAAAAATCCTCATTGCCCTATTTAAGTCTCCAAGCTAAGAATAATAGGCTTCATTACAGGTTATAATTTCTTTGCACTTTCTTGATTAAGGCAGCTCTAAACCCACATGAGTTACACAGTACTCTATGATGAATATTACAGGAAAACCATCAGGCTTGATGGAATGCGACAGGTATGGTATCCCATGTGATAAATTATGGAGGAGAAACTATACAACGTACAATACAATGCAGAAATTATCATGTCTGATATAATGACAGGAAAAATCATCCTGCATGATGGCAAACATGGAAACCATCCTTGGTGATGAAATATAGACAGGGAAAACCATCCTGAGTGATGACTATGATTAGGGAAAACAATCCTTAGTGATGAAATACGATGAAAAATTAATAATTCAGACATGTGAAAGTTCCTATTAGCTTTGACTTCATGATTCACATCACCTATAGAAAGCCAAACCTTCTGGGAAATGTGGAGCTCAACTATATTATTATTTAATAAACTTACTTTTTCTTGTTGGGGATACCCTTGGCCTCCATAATCCAAATCTTGAGTGTGTTTTCTGTTCGTCTTGTTTCATCTTGGTTCTGCTGACTTCTTGTACTGCAATTGAAAGGTAATTAAATATTCCTATGTGTGCTTAGCTAAAATTAATTCCAATACTGTACTCACAGGTGGGGAGTCAAAATAATATAGGCCAACTATCTGATCTTGGCTCAAATTTGTCACTACTTCTTTCAACACACCAGCTGTATCCCACTGAGGTGGGGTGGCCCAAAAGGAAAAACAAAAGTTTCTCCTTTTACATTTAATAATATATACAGGAGAAGGGGGTTACTAGCCCCTTGCTCTGGGCATTTTAGTTGTCTTACGACATGCATGGCTTACGGAGGAAGAATTCTATTCCACTTCCTCATGGAGATCAAATTTGTCACACAGTAGCATAATTTCTGAAGGCAAATAGATGTACATATACAATTTACATACTGCACATGTCATACCACCACCTTCACTAGTGGGAAATGGCCAGCATATTAAAAAATAAAAATATATACAAATACCTGGTAAGACAAGGCATGAGAAAGGTTCTTTGGTACTAGAATAGATTATGTACAGACATGTGTGCTTGGACATTGGGCAGGAAACAGTCTGAAGATGAATACAGAGACACTGCTCTAAACTTCAACAGGGAACAGAGGTATATGAAAGTACTTGAGGTTGAGGTGTAAAAAGTAGGGCACTATAGCAGTGCACTTAGCAATAATAATGCAGGTGTAGAAAATGGACATGGAGATAAAACTGGGAAATGACCTGGAGTACCCAGTAGTTAAGGCATAGGGAAATGCAATTATACATATACTAGGTTAAATTTGTATAATTTATCATTAAAATATTCCTATAACAACAGCATGCTCATTGCATCAATTGTATAAATAAGAAGTTTTATCTAAAATATACAGTGGACCCCCGGTTAACGATATTTTTTCACTCCATAAGTATGTTCAGGTGCCAGTACTGACCGAATTTATTCCCATAAGGAATATTGTGAAGTAGATTAGTCCATTTCAGACCCCCAAACATACACGTACAAACGCACTTACATAAATACACTTACATAATTGGTCGCATTCGGAGGTAATCGTTATGCGGGGGTCCACTGTATTAAGTAGTTAATCTAAAGCTATTATTAGAGTATTATTTTATTTGAGGCACTAGTGTAAAAGTGGGAATATAACACAACTTACCGGTCATAGTGAGGAGAGCAGTGTGTGTCATGTTCAGGCGGGTTGCTGGGGCTTTGGATGTTCTCATGAGAGTGGGACCGACCCAAGGAAAAGCTGCCATCATTGCTCTCTGGTGCACTGCAACAATATAACAGGATGTTACATAAGAATGATGAAGTCAAAATAGATAGTAAAGCCAGATGTGGGTTTAGGAAGGTAAGGGAGGTTTTGAATGCTAGGGCCTAGAGAATCCAGCAGGCATGTCCAGGCATGTTAGATCAGAGCAAATACAGATGGGTGTTTTTAATAACTTGGCATCCTACTGGAGTGTGAGAAGAGTTACATTAGTGAAGGTTATACTGACTTGAGTCCTGGAAGCAAGAAGTACAGTGCCTGCACTCTGGAGGAGGAGTGGGGATGCTGCTGTAGTTCAGAGGGTCATTTGAACCATAAATGTTACCAAGTTCATATTCCAACAGCACATCAAGCCATAAAAAAAAAAAAACACTCATCTCCATTCAAGACTGCTCCTTGGCAGATTTTTGCCATTAATTATAATACTGCTTGTAATGTACAGTATTAAAAAACCTACAGAAAATATTAGAAAACTGAAATATTTAAAGAAACTAATAATCAATACTAAAAAAAAATCCCCTGAAATTTCTGATCAGTACTAAAACATTATGAAGAATGCCCATAATAATAATAAAAAAAAAATTATGCAGGTGAAATATCCCAGAAATTTTGGAGGATTTAGTATATAAATTTCTTAATCTCAGAAATTTGAGAATCGAAACAATTTCTTAATTTATATGAAGATTTTTAAAAAAAAAGTGTAAAAAATCTTTAAAATCCTTAAATTTCTCACAAATCAATGTACATTTCTAAAAGATCATGTTGTAATTAACAAAATATTTAAAATTCATGGAATCATTTTCTAACAAAGAAAATGTGGCAAAAAAAAAAATTATGAAAATTCCACTGAATTTTTTTTAAATTGCCTGAAATAATAATAGACTTCTTTGGCTGTTAGAAAATTAACCAAAAATATCTTAATACATGCATTTCTCAAAAGTTTATAAGCAATTTCTCAATAACTTTGAAAAATTCACAATATATCTTCCAATGCAAAAATACCACAAGCATCTAGTCTTGGCTTAATATCCTAAAAACACACTGCTACCCCTTCAAGGAAAAAAGATTAATATTAGTGCTATATAACCCACATTAACTTAGTGTGTTTTTTAATAACCTTAATACTGCTTGAAGAACTCGACTGAAGGAAATGGTACTTCACTCACTTTCCTTGGATTAAACCAAATTACAGTGGTACCACAAGTTTCGGCCATAGTTCGTTCCAGAAGGCTGTTCAAGTGCCATTACCAAATGAATTTCTTCCCATACGGAATAATGTAAATTAGATTAGTCCATTTCAGACCCCCAAAAATATACTTACAAAAGCACTTGCAATAATACACTTACATAATTGTTCAAGTTGGAACTGTACAAAACTCGGGGTACCATTGTACCTCCCATTACCATAGTGCTATTTAACCCACATGGGTTTAGTTACTCCTCATGAATGTAACAAGACAGTGGTACTCACCCATCTCCATTTTTGGTTGCTTTGTCTGTTTTTGAGGTGTTTTTTCCTGTAAGTTTTACATTGGATCCCGTCTTCCCTTTCAACTTTGAAAAGATATTCTGAAAAAGAAAGGAAAATTATATACACAAAAACTGTATGAACCTTACAGGGTTTAAGTCTTTTTTAATATAACAATATAAGAGGGGAACAGTATTACTACAAGATTTTTTTATTTAAAAGTAAGTATCTTCATGAGGGAAGCCCTACTGATCCAAGGAAATGGAGCTACCCATGAATACACTAAGTAGTAACACAATAAGTGTAAGGGACCCAAGACTTTCCAACACCCTCCCTTCATACACAAGGAAGATCACCAACTGACCCCTGGCTGTCTTCAAGAGGAAATTTGATAATTTCCTCAGGTCAGTTTGTGTTCAGCTGGGCTGTGATTTGTACGACAGACTGCAAGCAGTCAGCAGCAACAGCTTGATTGATCAACTCTGATCCATTAGGAAGCCTGGTCTGGAACCAGGTCACTGGGGCATTAACTCCAAAAAACATCCTTCAGGTATCCTTCCCTGCCTTGGATTAAACCTCATTACCTCTCATTTCTTGTGCAAAGCTTACAACGATACTCGAAGGACGTTTTCGGTGGTCAACGTCCCTGCAGCCAAGTATGTGACCAGGCCTCTTGGAGGATTAAGGCCTGATCAACAAGGCTGTTACTGCTGGCCACATACAGTCCAACAAATGAATAACAGTCCGGCTGATCAGTTACCAAGTTTCCTCTTGAGGACAGCCAGAGATCTCTTGGTAAGCCCCCTTACATACGAAGAGAGGCTGTTAAAAAAGTCTTGGTCCCTTTACACTTATCATGGTGAGTATTTCTCACCATCTGCCGAGCATCTTGGTTGCAGGGGTCAATTCTGTGTGTGTGTGTGTGTGTGTGTGTGTGTGTGTGTGTGTGTGTGTGTGTGTGTGTGTGTGTGTGGTGTGTGTGTGTGTGTGTTGTGTGTTTGTGTGTGTGTGTGTGTGTGTGTGTGTGTGTGTGTGTGTGTGTGTGTGTGTGTGTGTGTGTGTGTGTGTGTGTGTGTGTGTACATGCATGCAGATTTGTTACCAATCCCTCTAGAATTTTCAATGTGTAAATTATGTATTTTTCCTGCCTGTACCCTAAGGAATATAGGTTGAGGGACTTCAAACATTCCCAGTAATCAAAGTGCTTGATGCAAACTTCAAAATATTAAGTAAAAAAAAATTTCATGCAGCAAAACTCTTATTAATATGCCATTTCACCTACATGTGACTTCATCAGGTACTTGATAAGGAATCATGTAGGTGAAATCTCATACTACTAAATAAAGGTCACCCTTTTCTGTAAGTCTTTTTACCTTTGATTTTATTTTCCAGTTTCTTAGAATGAAATTTTTTGTAACTTGAACCTATGATTGATTGCGAGGGATTTTCTACTCTCACAGCCCAACCAGAGGCTAATTTCCTGCGGGTTTATATGTTCAATCAGGTTGTTGCTATTAACAACAGCCTTGAACCCTTTATTTTTGGATGTGATTTTTATTTCTGCTGCTTTGCCTATTTCTGAAAAGAGTCTAGTTTCTGGCTTAGTCACCTATTTATGGCTGATTTTTTTTTATGGCATTGGGCCCCCTTTTGTGTCTAAAATTCTCTTAATCCACATGCCTCCAAAATAACATGCCTCCATACACAGAAAAAACACTTGTCGGAAAAATTTTCATAACGACCTCTCTATTTTATTAGGGCTTCATGAATTACCCCCATGTAAAACGTTTTGTGCTCCCAATACTGTTTTAAAATCCATTTTCCAAATCATTCTAGGGAATAAAATATTGTTTTCTAAAAGTTGGGTTTATTTTTAACAAGTGTGATGCAAAAGAAATGATGGGGGGGCTTGAAAGAAGGGAAAACCAGGTATTCTGTGACTGAGGAAACCTTGGTTTCCCTTTTTTTTATTTATTTTTTTATTTTTTATTTTATTTCTTTGCAAACAGTACATTGGATTTTTATTTACAATAGTGGGTTCAATGAAAAGAGGCCTTTTTAATCCCTAGGTTATGGGCCAACTTAACATTATTGACTTACAGACTACTTAACACTAAGAATTTTTCATTTGTCAGTAGGTAGAAATTATTTCATAGTTGTACGTAGATTTTAATTAAAATGAATTAAAATTTGTATAAGACAAAAGATTATTCTTTATTCGAAAATGCTTTTGTGAAAACAGTGATTCAATTTTTTCTGTCAACAAGGGGAAAAAATTTTAAAGTGATTGTTGAATTTTGATGTGGGGTCAAAAGTGGTATGTGTGTACTGAGTATTTGGGGCGTTTGTCAGGGGGTTTAAAGTGGTTTGAGAGGAGTCTTAAATTGATTTTCAGATAGGTTTTTTTAATAAGAATTCCTATTTTAGGGCCCTTTTGTCATAGAGTTTTTACACAGTGTGATTGGACACGAGGTATATAAAAAAAGTGATGTGTCTTGTGCTGGGGTCATGTGCCCTGTTTTGGTTGGTGAGGAAAAAGTTTGAGTGGAGGGTTTTATTTTGGGTTATTGTTCTGTGTTTTTAGTTGGCACATTAATAATTTGGGATGTTTTTAATGGTGGCGATTGACTTTTGAAAATTGGTGGGTATGCTGGGGGAGTGGGTTTTATTCTTATGCTGTTTTGCGGGTTTTTTGGGGTTTTAGGGGTTGGGATTTTTTTGACCCCCATGCACAAATTCATATGTAAAATAAGGGTTATGAGGAATGGTACAGTCCCCAGGAGGTTGTTTGTGGAACTAGTCCTTTTCTTTGTTGTATGGTACAGTTTGGAGATTTTCTTGGTGATTTGTTGGTGTGTGTTGGGAAAACTTAAGGCTACTGTCAGGTGGTCCTTATTTTTTTGTGTAGTATAAAACTGTATTTAAACGAAATTACAGTATTATAAGCACAAAAAAAGGGCTATGCTCATGGCTTTTGGGAGAAAATCCTAATGCTTACGACTAAAACACTAGATCTTGTTATAAAATGGTAGATTTTTTTATTTTTTCCAAAAAACGGGGTAGCAAAAATTTATTAGAAAATTTTTAGCAGAGATTAAAGAAAGAAAAAGTATAAAAATTGTTAATTTATATAGTAAAAAAAAATTTTAAGTGCATTTTAAATTACCAAAAATGTTTGTGGCCTTAAAGTTAACTGAGATTTTTTGGTAGTTTTCAAACTGGTTCTTGATTTCGGCTAAAAAAGTTTATAAGATATGGCTAAAAAAAGTAAGTTGTCCGGGGGAAAGGGGAAAAAGAATTTTTCCCCGTAAGCCTGGTGTCGTATGAGGCGACTAAAATGCCGGGAGAAAGGGGCTAGAAACCCCCTTTCTGTATACAATTATAAAAAAGAGAAGAAAAAAAACTTTAAAAACTGGGTGTTAAATGTGCGGGATGTAGGCGGAGGGACAAGAAAAGATGATTGTGATGTTTTGAATGAAAAAAAGTTTGGGTGTCCTGGGCCCCCAAAACGAAAAAAAAGCTGAAGGGGGTAGGAGGTTTCGTGGGGGGGAAAAAAATGGGGTTAATGGGGGTATCTGAGAGGGTTAGAGCAAAGGGAAAGGGGTAGCAGTAAAAGTTAAATGATCAGTTTGGAAAGGGGAAAAGGAAAATGAATGTGTAAATTCAAGAATTTGTGGGTTTTTAAATAAAGGTTGGACGAGAAAATGGGTCATAATAAGCGTTATGCCCTGGAGAAGAGAGGAATGGAGGAGAGAGAGGATTTTGGGAGATGTAAGTGAATGTATAGGGGCCTTTGAACCAAGTGAGAGAGTAATTGTGGTAGGGGACTTGATTTCTAAAATGGAGAAAATTTTAGAGAGGGTGTGGTAGGTAAGTTTGGGGGCGGTGTAAATGATAATGGGAGCCCTTTGATTGAACTTTGTTTTGAAAAAAGGGGTTTAGTTATAGGTAATACAAATTTTTTAAAAAAAAGAGGATAAATAAGTATACACGATATGATGTAGGGGGAAATGACAGTGTTTTTTGGGTTTTGTATTGGGAGATAAAAGCTGTTTTAGTGACTCAGGAGTAATGTTTTTTAGAGGGGCCACGATATATCAGATCACTTTCTAGTTGTTGCACACTGAGAGTAAAAGGTAGATGGGTACAAGGGAAAAGAAGCACAGGGAAGAGAGAGGTGAAGGTTTTTAACTAAAAGGGGGCGTTAGGGTAAGTTAAAAAGCTATTGGGGGTAGATGGGCTAAAGGGCATAGGCAATGGGGGTCGAAGAGGTATGGGGTAGGTTTAAAAATGTAGTGTTGAGTGTTCGCAGAAATTTGTGGTTAAGGAAAGTGGGGGCGGAGGGAAGAGGAGCGATTGGTGGAATGATGATGTAAAAAGAGTAGTAAGGGAGAAAAAGTTCAATTTAGAAAGTTTTTACAAAATAGAAATGATGCAAGGAGGGAAAAGGGATAGGGAAAAAGGAGAGGTTAAGAGAGTGGTGAAAACAATGTAAAAAAAGAGAGAAAAGAGAGAGTGGGTGAGATGTTATCAAAAAATTTTTTTGAAAATTAAAAAAAAAGTTTTGGGGATGAGATTTTCAAATTAAGAAAACCTAGAGAAAAAATTGATTTGTCAGTTAAAAAAAGGGAGGAGGTTATTAAATGGAGAGTTTGAGGATTGGGAATGGAAGGAATATTTTGAGGAAATTTTTAAATGTTGTGAAGATAGGGGGAAGCTGTGATTTGTGTATAGGGCAAGGGGAATAACAAATTTTTAGGGTGAGGAAGAGCCTTTTTGGGGTGGGGAAATTCGTGAGGCGTAGGTAAAATGAAAGGGGGGGAAAGGGGAGCCGGGATTGATGGGTAAAGATAGAATGTTAAAAGCAGGTGGGGATATGTTTTGGGGTGGGTTTGGGGCAATTATTTAATAAATGTATGGAAGAGGGTAAATACCCAGGGGTTGGGGGGGCATGCATAGTTCCCTTTTATAAAGGCAAAGGGGGTAAAGAGAGTGCAAAAAAATTTTGGGGGGTAAGTTGTTGAGTGTACCCGGAAAGTGTATGGTAGAGTTTAAATTTAAAGAAAATTTAAAAGGGAAGACGGAGAATAGGTAGCAGAGAA